ACAGAAAAACGTAAGAAGGCACGTACTTCTACTTACCCCTCCACACATTCCTGTCTGGCCTGCTGTTTTTCTACTCCCCTTTTCCCATGGTTCAACATGCGTAACCTGAAAGGGTGGGGGAAACAAAAGAAAGTTACAATTATAAACTTATAATGTTTAGCTGCCTATACAAACTTAATTTAGTCAACGGGTTTCCTAAATCAATCTTGAATAGCTTGTTAAAAGACAAACTCAAAACCAAGTCTGCTCTGTCCCTAAAGCAGAGCATTTGGCTTCTTTAATTACATCAAAAAAAATTGATACCCCCAAATTATGGATGAAGTAAAAACAAAGTTACCAACTCAAGTGTCTTATTCTATACTCCAGTTTCATGACTCCATGACTAAAACACATCATTACTATTTTCAGTGGTGACTAAATGACCTTTATTTAAACTGTCTCAAGTTCAGTGATACCTGCTGGTGACAAAAATCTAGTCTCATATCCATAAATCTCATTTATGCAGTGAGCTTATCTAGAGATTTCTTCTGGTTATTACCTACAATTAGAAAAAAAAAAAAGATGCCCACAACATAGTGTTTTAATCTAACAAGCTGATGTTATTTTTCTTGTAGACTGCAATGATGATCCTGTAGATGATGATCTTGAAGACCGCAATGAAAAATCCTAGGTAAAATGCTTCCTACATAATAAGGAATAAAGTTTGCCCAATTCAAATCTTCTTTTGAGATGCATTTAGAATGCAAGAACATAATTAGCCATCATTCCTTAAATATGACAATAAGAGTCAAATTAAGAATCATAAGAAGGCCCAAACTATATTTGACATAGTGAAATTCAGAGATGAAACGTCTGTGTTAATGAACAAGTAGATTTCCTAAACGCAACTTAAAACCAGGAAAAAAAAGTGCAAAGCACACTGTGGTATTATGCTAGACTGGGAGTAAAGGCATGTGGCCAAGAGGCACCATAGTTGAGATATTACAGTTCTTGACCAGTACATGAAATAAAGCTAAGTACATACGCAATCACTGGAAATCCTAGAATTAATATTTAATATTTATTAATGCACAAAGGAAGCTACTGAACTGCTTTTGACAGCTGCTGTCTTATCCGAATGTGAAAACTGAGAGATGCCAATACTACATGATTTGAAATCCACAACTTCCCACGTTATTAGCATCACGTGAGAAGTTCAGAAATGCTACATAAATAATAGTGCATACCCTTCAAATTACTTGGTTTTGCCTCAAACTAAAAACTGCTTTTCATATCCTATAAAAGGATTAAGTGTGACACTACCACAATAGTAATCCCTGATTTTTTCCTTCTTAAGTTACAGTTACATTTTTATCATACAAGTCTTGATCCTTCAAAGACTACTGCACGCACTCAACTTGTTGGAAGTACACAGATGAAATGAAGTTGAGGAAGAGCACAAAGATGTAAGATCAAGAATAAAGAAAGAAGTCACCCATTTTGCAGATACAGAACTAAAACAGATAAACAGAAAATTAGAACTACATGTGAATTAATTTAAGTATCTACAAAGAATCTCTGTTTTCAATAACGGATCCTACCACTAGCTGTCTGTGTTAATTTAGAACTTTTTTTCCTATGTCTTCAGCACCTAACATTTGATTTTTTATTTTTATTTTTTTTTCCAAGTGAGCCATTTATCCTGGTTCCTAAAACAAATACGCCTAAAAATACTCGTGCTGCAGTGGATATTGTGCTCATTAAAAAAAAAAAAAAAAAAGGAAAAAAAATCAGGAAGAAAAATGGAGACCATAAGATATTCAACATGATTCAGGAACCTGAAAATATAAGCAGAACTGAAGTCTTGTGAGTATCAGCTAAGTACCTGAACCATCGGGCCATTTTCTGCCTCACATCTACTATTTATGAGTAAGTCAGGGTCTGAGCGTTCTCTTCAATGTGTATTTTTGAGTCAAATAACTGTCAAGTTCAGTAAATCTTATTTATAAGGAATTAATATATTGATATCTAATGATTCATCCAAATTCTTCTCCAATTTAAGATGAAGCCACTTCTGGAATGAAACACTAGGACAAGCAAATAGAACTAGCTGAACTATTGCAGTTGAGCTCTACCAATATAAAGAAGGTGGATCACATCAAGTATTTTTGATTTCATCTGAAGAGATCCACCTAACAAATGTTATGTTCTCAAATTTCCTCCAAATGTCTTAAATCAATTTTGAGCTCTTGACCTCAGTTGCAAAAATAAATTTTACTGTTTTACACTCCAACAAAACAAATATATTTTTTATCTCATATGCAGCAAGTGCTAAGTTTACTAACAAGCCTTCTCTATAATCTATGTTACTCAAAGTACTAAAAAAATTAAGTAGTCTGCTCAAAGTGCCAAAGTCCAATCAGAGATGTGTTGTCAACCTGAGGAACAACACACGGTCTTCATAAGTGCATGCAAACAACGTCAAAGATCTCAAAATGCTTCCAAGGAGTTATTTTTCACAATTATGGTGACTTGACTTGCCTCGGTTAAATGGATGCTTTTTTTTTTTCTTTCAAAGAAATTAAATCTGTTTGGTGACCCAGTAACGTTACTGAGGAGAAACAACATCCCTCAAAGAGAATCCCCTTAATGTCCTACCTACAGCTGACTGAAAACAGCAACCTGAATTATCAAAGCTTTGCTCTCGTTATCAAAACAAAGAATGGGGCTGTGTTGATGAGCATTAATTATGCATACCTCTACCTGGGAGAGCGGCTTGATGGAAGCCTCGCTGCAAAACTGATTCAATCCTGCTAACAAAACAAGAACTGAGACGGGGCGCGCTGACGGTTATCCTCCCAGCACACCCAACCTAACGCCAGGAGCGACGCTAGGAAGAACTGGGGTTCGAATGGGAAGAGAGGCAGTGGATTTGACTGGAAAGAGCGCCGGGGGGCAATCCTGACGGAGCTGAGGCAAAGACCACACGCAGGCCGCTGCGGCGAGCACCTCCTACCCGCCCGCCCGGCCCTGAGGGCCCCGCAGCCCCTCACCTTGAAGTAGATCTCGTCCACCACCTCGTGGTACGTCTTGAGCTCGTAGAGCTGCACCTTGAAGTATGGCGAGGAGAGGATGTTGGTGAGGATCATGGGGTTGAGGTTCATGGTCTTCTCGTTGCCCCACAGCGGCAGCACGTTGCCCTGCTTGCCGGAGGCCGCCGGCTTCGGGGCGCCGCTCTGCAGCTGCTGCTGGCCCGGGGCGGCGGCGCCGGCCTGGTGCTGCGCCGCCTGCTGCCCCTGGCAGTTGCCGGCGCCCACGGCGGGGCTGTTGTTGGCCATGGCGGCGGCGCGGGGCCTGCGGGGCGGCGGCGGCCGCGGCGGGACCGGGCGGGACGGGACGGGACGGGCCGGGCGCTGCCTCCGCCGACGGCCGACAAGATGGCGGCCCCCGCGGAAGTGACGCCCGCGCCTTCCGGGGCCGAGCCCGCCAATCCCCGCGGGGCCGCGCGGCCGGGCTGGGGGGAGGGGCCCGCGGAGAGCGGGAGCGGGGCGGGGGCGGCGCCTCACGCTGAGGGGGGGGCGCCGCGGGGCGGTTACGGCCGTTAAACGGCACGGAGGGCAAAGGGGCTGCGCTTAGCAATCCCGTGCCGCTTTTATAATAGGTTTTATGATAATTGCTAACAGGGACCAACAAACTGCGCCGGTTTTGGCTGGGATACCTGAGAGACAAAATCAACTTACGTTTTCAGGTTGTATTTAACTTATTACTCGAGTTTCCCACAGTTTTTTTCATTGCATGCTCTTGTAAAAGCAACCTCCCCTCCCCCCACCTATTAAACCTATTATTTGGGTTTAATATTTTTCCCTCATCAACAAAAGGGAGACAATGCAAGGTTTAGAAGAGTAGTAAAGGCGCTGTAAACACCAAATGGCTGCAACAAAACCGAAATTCCACCAAAGTTACTGCAAACTGTGCATGGTGGAAGAAAACAAACCCAGTTGTACACACAGACACGAGATCCAGGTTTCTCAGCTTGTCAGGAAATGAGTGGAGGGTGAAGTTGTGGAAGCATCCATGGAAATCACCTCTCTACACTCGGGTGATTTAACACCAATTGAGATTTTGAATTTAAAAAACAGGAAATTAATACCACTGGAAGTAGCAATACACTACCTTCACTCTTCATTACACGCCCAAGATTCAAGACCTGAGAAAGAGTACCTCATCTTCATTACTCAGGTCTTTTAATCTACCTTGGAGCAGTGCTCATACTATAGCATTATCGGACCACAGCAGTTAACAGTTTCTCTAAACTGCCTGCTCTGCTATCTAGGCTTTTCATTCCTGTTTTCTAAGAATAACTTCACCAGCCGCCCTTCGGCCTGCACTTCCATGTCATCTAATTTCCAACAATTGGAGGACTCTGCTGTCATCATCATCATTGCTTCTGCAGTAAACATCCACTTAATCTACAAAATTAAAAGAACTAATCACAAAATAAATTCTGAAATAGAATCTTTATAGCAATAAAGTAATCTTATTCTGCAGACAGCTAGAGCAGTAACTTTACTTTGAAGTTGAGGGGTTGGTTTTTTTTGTTTGTTTAGCATAGCCTTGACTCTTTGAGCATGTCCTTCATTTTTCTTGCATAATCACTTCAGGACAGCTTGCATTTGTTATCATTTATATTGCCACAATTGTTTATTCACATATTGCTATTTTTTTTCTCATATTTCCTCTTGGAATATTTAGTATGTTCCAGAAACTCAGTGTTCTTGCTCTGTAAAAGTTATCATTTTTGTAATTCTTACACAGTTCCTGTTTTGTGGTGATGCCGCAAGCTTAAGTTTAGCTGGAACCTATAATCCATTTGCTTCAAATTAGATTTTCTTCCCTCAGGCATCCCAGCTGGTCTTCATACAGAATCAGAGCCAAAGGAAAAAAAATCAACAAGAAAGTGATTTTGACTTGCAAAGAGTAAGGAACTACATATAATTACAAAAAAGGAAGATGATGGTGATGTGTGTAAGAGCTCACTTCTCATTCACATAGATTAATTGAGAATTTTTCTGGAACAGGCATGATCTGTTAGTTGAAGCTCAGAAGAAAGACGGTAATACCTAGTCATAAAACATTCTTAAATTTGGTTTGGGCGGAATGATTGTTAGCTCTTGAGTGATAGATTAAATAGTACTGATACGTGGATTTTCCTGTCAAATGTCAGTGTGGACTGGTGTCTTCTGGCAGCGGCACTGCATTAGTTTTCTTTTGCTATCATATTTAATTATATGTATTGCAACTTCAAAGGGAAAGTACAGGAACTCCACACCGTTGTTTTTCTCATCCCAAGAGCATTAAATAAATGTCAGCAGTTTAGGATTTCTTGATTAATGCATTTCTACTGTGAGATGCATTTCTTTATAACCACGATTTGTTGCACTCTTTGTAGTACAAATAGAATTAATTCCATAAGAATAATCCACAGAATTTTGCTGAAATTTATTTTCTGGTAATTTTGAAGGATTGACAAACAGCAGTACATTTTGGAGTACTGTTAGAAAATTGTACAAATTAACGTGTTACTATAAATAGGATTTTGTAGGATACCAGAATCTATAGAATATTTAAGCCAGGAAATACAAAACTAATAATGAACTATATCATCTCTCTCTGAGGTAGAAAAATATTATGTGCAGTATATAGATGGTACAATTGAAACGGAGATACTAAATGATGGTTGAAGACTAAATAGTAACTCAACGGCCCAAAAGAGCAAATGCATTATAAACCACAGAGCTTTCATCAGACATTCTGAGTATCAACCTATCACATCTTGCTCATGTGTCCTTGTTACAGTGTGTTTTCTAAAATCAAAACCTAATTGAAGGGTAAAATGAATTTACTGGATTAATCAGAGGGATTTCATGGGGATTACTGTCCAGGCAAGTGTTTCTGTGTATGGCCAGCTTTGGCTGTATGGGTCCTTAAGTCTGCTGGGAGGAAAAATCCTACAAAAAATGATTGGTCAGGTTTTGTGTATCCTTTAAAGTAAACTTCTTGTATGATTAGAGATTGGTATTAGTGCAGCACTTATTTAAAGCCTGTTTGCCATCCACATTCTGTTTGGCTTACCCGCTCTCAGGCTGCCTTGCCTGTGCTCTGGTCAGCACTTGAGCTGTTGTAACGAAAGGAGTTGTAGAATTGTAGACCTGCTACTCACACCAGAAGTGAGTATGAGCAAGAGGCCAGCACTGCTCCTCTAAGGTAACTGAGAGACGAGCTCCCCCGGCCCCTCTCCGCTCCCTCCTGCTGCCCCTGCGACCGCTTGCGGGAGGTGGGCGGCGGGGGAGAAAATGGAGGGCAAGGTGCTGGCAGGAGGGCGGCAGGTGCTGAGGCTGAGAAATTGATTTTTTCTGTCCTTGACGGAAAAGTTAAGGAACGTTTGATGTTGTAGTCGTGCCAACACCATGGAGGATGGCCATGTTCTGGATGGGGAAGAACAATAAATTATGAAACACGCGTTTTTAAAAATGTGTATAATATATGATTGCTTTATAAAAGGGTTATTCCCATCACTGTACGTGGATGGGGCAGCTACAGCCTAGTTGTGCTAATTCCTGTTTTTTTGTCATTCTCTAAACACAACAGGGACCAGGCCTTCCCCTGCCTAATTGTTAATTTGTTGCCACTGAAGACAGCAAATTCTGTATTTTGACATTATAGAGTACTTAAGAAAATCTTTTTTTATATATTTATTATTATTTCAGACTTACCAAAATACAATGGATGAGAACTTTCAAGAAGAACGGTGTACTGGCATGATCAAATTCACACCACCATTGTACAAACAACGGTACCAGTTTGTTAAAGATTTAGTGGGAAAATACAAACCTAAGAAGGTTGGTGTACTTTGTCTTTTTGCATTATAAATTTGAAAAAAAATACATTAGGTATTTCAGAAAGGTGGGAAATGACTAGATAATCCGGTGACCTAATTAGCAAGCAACAGTACTGGAGGAGCAGTTGTTAAAACTGAACTGCTTTAAGAGAAATCTTATGATCTTGTTTGTTTGTTTTATCAGGAATTAATATAATTAATGCTAGTTGATGGGAAAAGGGGAAATATGAACAAGAAAAATGCCTTAGCATTTCCTATCTTGGAGAGTAGTTAGCATTCTGGTTGTAATTTAATGTTGAAGACTTCAGTTCAAGTGTCTCTCATCATAGTGTTTTTGTTTTTTAAAAAACTTTCTAAAGCTTTTAGGTCCACGTACACTATTGGGTTTACATCATCATTGACATAGATGCTTTCAGATGAGAAGTGACGTTAACAGTGTGGGATTACGTAAGGCTAACTTTTCTCCACCTAAAAGTCTGATTGATGACTCCTGTTCCTCCTCCAAGCTATCCTGGGGCTGGTGAGCCTACAGCTTTAATACTTACTCCCTCAAATCACTAAAGTATGATATTATGTCTTCATGTGGAAGGCATTCTCTGGAGTCAGTGAATGATGTACATGCGTTTGTTTATAGCTGTAATAACAAAAGGTCAACCCACTTTAAGCATCTTGTAAGATCCTCATATTATTTTTAACATTTTTTAACTTTGTCTAGCCTGCTAGAAGTTAGAATCGTGAAACGTTTTATCATTATGATATTTTGATTATAAATACAGAATTATTTATGAAAGTCTCAAATTATTTAATGTATAAGTGCTCCGTATTTCTAATATCTAATTTACAGGTGGCAGATTTAGGATGTGCAGACTGTACACTTCTCTGGATGCTGAAATTCTACAATTGCATTGAAGTGTTAGCTGGGCTAGATATCTGTGCAAGTGTGATGAAAGAGAAAATGTAAGCTTTTGCATTGTGTTTTTTTAAGGCTTATGATTGGTTTGACCTACTGGCAAGATACATAATTTATAGTCAGTCATTTCAAAATGAGGGCAAATGCGGAAATACCAGCTTCGCAAATGGAGAGCTATCCATTGCTAATTGGTTATGATGCAGGCTGTGTCAGATTTGCTGGGAGGATTGCTGGGCTTTAACATCCCCTAGTGCAGCAGAAGGCTGTGGCCATGAGGTGTACATCTGAGAAATAGACTATTTGGAAAGATACAAATACCTCGAGTGTAGCTGATGTTACTCAGTTTATGCTCATACATGAGATAATTGTATGCAAAACTGATCTTTTTGAAATGGGCACATTACACTTCTGGTCACTGTGGTGGTGCCTTCGTTTTTGTTCACCCATTTGAAATGGGAAGGCTAGCTCAGTGGTTTGTGTTTGACTTATAAAGCTCTAAAACTTGAAGTTTGTATGATGTTTGAGGCATGGGGCAGACTTCTGAGGAACACCGAAGTTTTTCTCTTGAAAGGTGTTTTCAATTCAAAGCTTGATATGGTTTCAATGAATATGTATCATCTAGATGCTGATCTTGTCATTTGCTTTCTCAAGAATGAAGGAAATAAACCTTTTATTAAGTTTAATTTATTTTTTTCTGATGCAGTCTTTCAGAATTAAATTTGCACATATATTTTACTTTATTTTCACTTCTTTTTACCTTTTTTTTTTTTTTAATTTGAAAAAATACATTAATATGCTTGCTTCGTAACTTCTCCGAAAATCCTGTAAAGCAGGTCTAAAACAGACTTACCATGTTTCTAGAGTTGAGCTATTGTCAGAATTTACAGTATCTTCTCTGTGCAAGTGTTTGGAATATAGTGAAAATTTTTGTAAACTTGAAGGACAATTGCTGGCTTAATTCCTCTGCTCTTTCTGTCCTATTGCAGATGGTCATCAAACATGCTTTTGTGTTGTTTTTGTTCTGTAAATATTTAACCTTTTGGAGATTTCCAAAGTATCTAGGTAGGGCATTTGCTAGTACAGTTGCATGCAAAATTCATCTTGTCCTAAGGGCCTTTGTATAGTATCGTGTTTTTAATGCTTTTATAGGCACAGGTTGTATCCTCTTCCTGCTGATTATTTGCAGCCATCTGAAAGATCCTTAACTGTTACACTGCATCACGGCTCAGTTGCGCATGAAGATCCCTGCATGCTTGGTTTTGACTTGGTGACATGCATTGAATTGTGAGTATTAGGCCAACATGCTGTGTTTTTCTAAACTCATTAGGGTTTAAGAATTTTATTCATAATCTAAACAAGACTTGATCAAACCTCTCAAATAGAGGAGTAGCAAAATGTTGCATCTTCTAAGTTGTGCTTAAAATTAATTACACCAAGAAATTCAAGTGGTGCTAGCTCATTGTGGCAAAAGGAGATGCCACAATTTGAATTTGATTGGCTAAGAAAATTAAAATGCAGTAGGGCCTTTTTAAAGGACATATGTAAATGTATGCTTGCAGGATAGAGCACCTGGAAGAATCAGAGCTAGAGAAGTTTCCTGAAGTGGTGTTTGGTTTCATGGCTCCAACCATGGTGGTTATCAGTACTCCAAATTCTGAATTTAACCCCTTGCTTCCAGGAGTGACAGTTTTCAGGCATCAAGACCACAAATTTGAATGGGACCGAGCACAATTTCAAAGTTGGTGAGTTTACTAACCATATGCAGACAGTTTTGAGTGCTAAGTAATGTGAAAGAGGAATATAGATTCGGAGGGGTTTGTATATGTGGTTTGCTCTCAGAGTTTGACGCCTACTGATTTGGTGAAATGTTTCTTGGCTGTTGTAAATAGTTAAGTATGCACTGTGGGTGTTGTGTTTTATGATGAGTTGGCTTGCTTTTACTCTAACTGCTCTGCAAAAAAATATTTAAATTTTGTCATACATTACTGTTACACTTAGTGTGTTTCAAGTGTAAAGTACTAAATAAGCCCTTTCACATAGTAATACCCTGCTGTAGAAAAGCTTCATGGAAACAGAAGGATTGTGCTCACTATGTACGGTGTGTAATCAAGGCACTCAGTCACCCTGGGCCTTTCTGTAATAGAACACGAGCAGATTTATGAAATAATAATTACAATAGAAGAATGATTTAAATAAAGTTAATGATGGTTTAGTGGATTCTGGCACAACGAAAGACTTGATGCAAAACACGCAACCAGGAGAGGGTTGAACTAAGATACAGCAGTAAGTTTTGGTTGCCTAAGTTTGTGATACTAAATGATTCAGACTGGTAGGAATACGGTTATGGCTCTGATCCAGCAGAAGCCTTTATAGTGCTTATCTTCAGGCATGTATTCTCGCATCTGAGGGAATGCATCTTTATCGCATTAAAGATGAATATTTATTATGATCAAAACATGTTTTCTTTTAGGGCTTTAGATGCTGCTAAACGCTATGGTTACTCAGTGGAATTTACTGGTGTAGGGAACCCACCAACAGGAATGGAGGATGTTGGGTTTTGTACCCAAATAGCCGTGTTTGTTAAAAAATATCCTCAAACCAGTGAACCAGCGCAGTCTAAGAAACCCACTGAAGCAGCTTACAAAACAGTAAGTATTCTTTTTTTCCTTTAGGAAGATGAATATAGAATAAAACTTTCTATGACCTGCTGGTGACGCTGTTCTTGCTATAGTCTACTGTTGCTGTCTGGTCTTAGCTCCAATTAACACAAACCAATCACCTCTAAAAACTCAGAGTCTATGACTTGTGTTTCTAATTGTATGAAGGCCTTTAACCTCTCAATTTTTTGCTAAATAGCAATATGGATAATTATTCTTGTTTCACCAGACTGTTATCCTTAGAATGAAAATTCTCCATTTTTACAGGTATACTCTGACACTATAATTTTCTTCTAATCACTTTTTACTTTATCATAAGGCCATTAAGTGTGTTGGCACTGATACAGACTGTTATACATTCGTACAAAATAAAAAGCATGAAGAAGTATTTCTAAAGTCTTGAAGAACTGCATAACCTTGTCAAATATACTACTTAAGGCGTTTTCCTGAAATTGCATTGACAAGAGCTGTTTTCTGTGGTTGGCCTTACTGTCTAGTGTTTCTTACACCCTAGCTTTAGGGTTTTCAGGTAACTGGTTCAGGCTTTTTGCAAAGTCATAGGATCTTGCAAAGTACCCTGTTCTCTAGTGGTACACAGGAAATCTTTCTTTTTTGTTGTTGTTGTTGTTTTTAGGACTAAATGGTTTGAAGCTTTGTGGTAAAGGTTTGTGTATACCTGTTTTTCAGAAAACAAACAAAACAGCAAAACCAACAAAAGACCTTTTTGGACTGATTGTTTTATGATTAGATACATGTAGTTCTTTATGACTGAGGGACATTGGTTTCAGTGACACACTTCTGTGTTCCCTTGCTGTGCTCTTAGGACTGGTGTAGATCCAACATTTCTATGTAGTTACATAACCATTTTGTGGGAATAAATCAACAGTTCAAGATCTCATCAGAAAGTAATGAGAAATTGTTATATACTTCCAACTTCAGTGGCAGTGTTTGGTATAAGGCAGTTACTAGTAAGCTAGTGGGAATGAGGTTGTCTACCAGATTTCTTTAACTTCTTGGAGAATAGCTCAGCATAGCACATAAAACATGTTCACTGATTTTTTGATGTCACAATGTTTTTTAGCATTCTCCGCATCTGAGAGAAACTTGTAATGGTTTGCTCTGAAAACAGAATAAAAGGCGTATTTGCAGTCCTAGTTTCTAGATCAATTTAGAACCTATGTAGCCATGGAATTGTCACCAGAGCCTCGTGATCAGTAATTTGTGAAGAGAATGATTAAAAAGAATTAAATAATTGCAGGGCTTTACCTGGCCTGATTTAAAAGTACAACTTGTAGATTAAAGCCTGATTTTTATTTTTTAATTTATTACCTTTTCTAATCACCACTGTAGTTCTAATATATAAAATCAAGTCATATTGTCCAGTTTTTCAGTACCTGAAAATGTTTAAAGTCCAAAAATGAAACAGGACTGAATCAAAGTGGTTTGCATTTTAGAAGCTTTTTGACAAGTGTGTGTTTAAAATCAGAATCTGTGGTAATAAGTGTTTTGTATGTTCCTGCATGTTGTAAAGGTCTTCAGAGCAGTGTATCCAAGTCTTAAAGATGAGAAGTACCTGCAGAGTGCAGTGGTCAGTGAAGTTATGTTCACAGCACATGCCATTAAACGAAGTCTGCTGGACCATTTAGTGTCAGAACAAGAGGACTATAATGATGATCCTACTGAGAGAAAATTGCAACTCCAACATTCAGTGAACTGTTTTTCAGAAGAACTTGAAACACTGGCTGTTGAAAAAAGCATGGAGCCACTTACCAATGGAAGTGTGGTTTATATACCTCTAAGGAAAATATTTTCTTTTCCTAAAGTGAATCAACTTTGTGGTACCTTTGAGAAGTTGCGCGAGCTTATTACTGGCAAGGTCACACTGAGCAGCGATGGTTCTGCTGTGGTGCTCGATACTGACCATGAAAACGAAGAGAATTAGATCACAGATTTCTCATTTAAAGTTAAATTAAAGTAATGAAAGTATTGACTTTAGTAGCTATAGAATGGTATGTTTTGTATGGTAACTATAACCACAAAATCATTCTTAAACTTAAACCCAGTTGTGTATCCGTTCTGACAAAGATTCATAATCACACTTGGGATTTTGAGGTGGAGTATCAGGTGCTAAAAAAGAATTAATTTCATGAAGCAAAATTGTGTGTTTGCCGTTATGATGTTGAAGCTATCATGACTAGACTCTTGGTAATATTTTGCTAGCTTCAAGGGCGGTTGATAACACAGAACTACATTGTCATGCTGAATAATAGTGTCAGACATAGATTTGGGGCAAGGTTGTTTTTTGTTTTGTTTTTAATAGAACAAAATTTATGAATGCCTTGTTCAAGATGAGCATGTGCCCAGCCTTGGTAAAAAACAAATGTTATTCTAGTAGATGTCTGTGACATTCCAGTTTAAAGGTCAGTAAATTCAACAATCAGAGAAAGTACCAGGATGTTGAATTTAAGGTGACAAAAAAGGGGGATTTAGTCCTATGTCTTTATCCAGTCTCTTGTTAACGGCTGGTTGGGAAAATAATATGCATCTCGCAACTTTCCAGAAGCTGAATTTCAGCAATTTGGAACTGCTATCTTTGACTGTTGTGTTTTTGAAAAAATGAAAACCCTGTCATTGTGAATGCCAACCTGGACCCAGTTATGAAAAAGTATCTGCATTTTCATTAATTAACCAAAAGGCTGCATTTATCTTTCACAGTATCATTGGCAGCCTGGAATAAGCTAGTACTATTGGAACTGATTGATATTTGTGAAACAGGATTTTTACAGTTTTCTGAAAAAAAAAAAAATGTGTAAGCCGTGACTGTTTCTTAGAGAGGATGGTTGCATTCTACCTTACATTTTTTTTGAGTTTGTTTAAAGTTGGTCCAGGTGAGAGACTAGGCATAAAAGGAAAAGGCAGCTGTAATTCTTGGAATTGAGAAGTGGTATGTAGTCTATAGCAGGCTGTGTTTCAAGGAAAAGGGAATTACTTACCATGTTCTGTCTAATTTTTTATATATATTTTTTTAATTAAGCTTACTTTAACTTTCCTTTTTGGGAGATTGTTCTCCCACAAAAAATAGACATGGATTATTAAAAGTAATATACTAGTCAGAAGTACTTATTAGAATTAATTAAAATTAATCTTGAATACAATATTGGGAATGGTTTCACTTTTGAAAATGAACTTGCCATACTCTCTACGTTACAAAGTAAGCATAGCTGTTTGAGAGTGGGCATGGTAGCACTGGTTTGCTATTAGAAAATCCCCACAGTTCACTGTATGGTTTAGCGTAGTTAGGGTTTTGTACCACGGAGCTTCTTCTCGTGTAGTCTCTTCTTGAAACATTACTTCAGTGTGCTTTGTAGCATGGTCAATTGAAAGTGAGGAAAACGGAGTGGGGAGAGGATCTGTCAGATTTGGAATGATAGGTGCTTTGAGTGCTGTATTCAGGTAGCATCTCATTACAGGGATGTCTTGTGAACAGCCAAGAGTGTATACAAGTACACACTTGTCTTCTGCAAACGTCGTACCCCTAAGTCTTCATAGCTCTATTTGGAAAATGGATGAGGTGAATATTTGGTGGACTGAGCTGAGGGACACAAACAGTAATCTAGTTTTTAAGGGCTTGATGAATTCTACCTTTCTTCTTTGTAAAAGGGTAGAGGTGTTGTTGTTGTTGTTGTTTTTTATTTGTTTGTTTTTTAATGATAGTTTGGGCAAGTATCAGGTCTTATATTCTTGCTTATGCCTTTCCTGCGCAAAAATCTAATGTCAAATGACAGATGTTTGGCCATATCTGTTCAGTGTTCCTTATTACATGTATGCATACTGAAACTGAAGACTCTATTACATATCATATCCAGAAGACCTATTTGGAATATATACATTTTAATTGAGGCTGCTACCTTTTAGTGAAATAAGCTCTATCATTTTGTGTGCCAGCTTTCCAGGTTTCCACTGGCTTAAATCAGTTTTAATTAAAGAAGTCTTCTTTAAAGGATTGAGTTAATAGTCTTTTCAGGAGCAGTTAAGCCCTCTCACACAATTCATTGTGCACAGCTCTCTGTTTATCAGCTTGATGGTTCTGTTATTAGGCCTTCACTGTGTCACATTTAAACTTGTAGCATGAAACCGACCAAGGTCAATTATGATGTCTGGAATCAGGATGCTGAAAATAAGTTTATGAAGAGTAGATTTTTTAAGTTGCATGTGGCCATATTACCAGAAGATGGCACACACATCTCAAAACAGGTCAACCTTAGGTTGTTCAAAACTAAAATTCAAATCAGGTAAATCTGATTGACATTTTGATAAAACATTCTGATGTGAGAAATATGTATCTATTACTATCACAGGAATTGTATAAAAAGATAACAGGTATAATAACTATTTGCTCCATTTCTATTTACTTTGCATCGAATGGCTTTATGTTAAGATTTTGACTTTGGGCTTCACACAGAAGAGAAACTGCTATAGGAATTGCGTTTAGTTCCCTAGAAAGCCCAGTTGCTGTATAGGCTGAAGCTGGGTCCAAGAAGAATTTGGTCTGCTTTTACTTTTTTGCATTTATTCTTTTATAAAACTTTCTTAATGAGGGTTGGTAAGCAGATTTCTATATACTGCACTATTGAAGGCTTTGGGGGTGGAATTGCTACTGATTTGGCAGAAGAAAATCTCAGTGAAAGCCTTTTCAGTTACTTTAGCAATTTTGTGTGTAATTAGTATCAAAGTGAATTAAGAACATCAGAAGCCCAAATTTACTGTTGCGAAATCTTAAAAGTAGAATAAGCTCACACCCAGATGTGTTCAATGCATTGTGGCATCAAAACCAAAGCAGGGAAGTGGAGAAAGCGCACAAAAAAAAAAAAAAAAAAAAAGCCAAGATGGTAAAAATTAGAGTGGAGTATCCTGAATATAAAGAAAGGAACTATTTAGCAAGTTAATAAGGATTGATTTTGGCCAGAAGGGCTCAACAGAGCCTAAATCTGAGAGCCTGGAGGCACCTAAGTTTCTATTTTCCCAAACCTTTCTCAGCTAATAAACTTCTGATCTGTGTTGGGCCCAGCACAGGTGGGCTTCCAAGTTATTAGGCTCTATTTCACACTCATTACCATTATATTGATAAATGAGGTTTGGATCATTCAGTTAGGTTATGTGTAACTCAGGGTTAGTTTTAAGGACGTTCCTGTTTTTCCCTTTAAATTGAGTTGAAGGAACACAGGCATCTGAAATGACAGAAGAGTTCTTATGCAAAAGTCCTTTGCGTTTCCTTCCTGATATACAAATGGACCACATTTTATGCAGTAATGTATGCAAGCAATTTGCTGGGAACTTTCCAAAATCTAATGCAGTGGCACTACTGTATATTTAAGTGAAGATACTGGGGAAACATTAGCAGATCATAAGAGAAGGCAGTTAAAAAACAAACCCCCAAAATGAGGGCCATGTTTACAACTGTGTGATCAGTTTTAGCTGTTGGAAGAGCAGTGTGTACAACTCTGAACTTAGGCAAAGCTTTATTTGATATCTTGCTCATGTATTCCTTCATTTAAAAAAAAAAAAAAGTGGAAGGAATGTAACTTAATGATTATTGGTTTCTAATAGTTAAGCAACACTGTGAAAATAACCTGCCCCACAGAAATGTTAAGAAATGTATTGAGAATATCTGTCTCTCCCCTTCTTGTTGGCAGATCCTGCTGTGTGGTGATACAGGGAATTGCATTGTCTAAGCTGTCGCAGACACTTGGACTGGTCCAACAGGTAGGAGAGGAGAGCAGGCACGAATGAGCAGCTAGCTGGGGAGAAGGCAGAACTACTTACATTAGAAAGAATTTTATTAAGTCATTTTTCTTCCATTTTAATCTTTCCCTCTGTGTTGTTAGCTCATGTCAGAAGGTCCATAAAATGCACCCATGTGTTCAGTGATAGCATCTATAGTGTTGAGGGATAGCACGGGTAGTTCTGGTGCTTTGTATCTCGTTTTTTTTTTTGTTTAAAAGTAAAATTGTTTCCCAGACTACAATAATGATTGGGTCTTGATATACTACGTATGTGTTTGAAACAGTGGTGCACAGTGTTATTTTCATTATTTTCCTTCCAGCTTAAACAATAACCATGTGTAAACAGCACATTTTCCTTGCAACATGAGTTTATTGCGTCTGAAACATTTACATTAAATACAGTTTAAAAACATATCCCAAACAGTTCACAACATGTGTTCAATATTCTTACAACACAGTTTACAAAAAATATCCAAGTATGAAGGTTATGTTCCACTTAAAATATGCACAATTACAGAATCACTACATAGAGAGTTTTAGCTTGAAGTGTGAACAATAAAATGGTACAACACAGCTTTATTTAAAGCTTGATTTCCATGTAAACTTCCTTCCTACTTAAAAGATCTTCTCAGTCAAGAAACAGCAGTTTCTAGTAAACAAAATACCTAAGCTATGGCAGTTACCTGTGTCTTTTAACACAGAATACAAATCTAGGCTATGGAAATTTCCTTAAGAATTACGTAAGCAGCTGTACAACACTTTTTTTACATTTCTTCTTACTATGCCTATTTTTCCTAATAAACTTAAGTAAACTACCATCTAACTACTACTGGTTTTAACAGATTTGTCAAAAAGTCTAGCAGTGTCCAGGAGTACTGAAAGCAACATAATTCAAATTTCATGCATCTTTTGGCTTGCAGTAGGATATTTTTGACAAAATAGGTATATAAAAGGAAACTTATGCTCTGACAGATACTATACTAATAGTTATTTGTTTTCTGTTTAAAATTCCTGTGAAGAAATGGATAGATAATACCACATTTCTATTAACAGCAGCTAAAATAGAATATTTGTGTTAATTCTTTTTACCCATTAAAACGCTTAGAGATTATGGTTTACAGTAGGAAATAAGTGTTGAAGTACCGTAACTGAGGAACAATTCATACTTAGTAACACTACTCAAGCTTCAAACTCTGAAATTTCCTTAAGAAATTTCTTTAAGAAATAATTTCCTTAAAAAATAAGAGTTTAATAACTACTCTGGATTTATGGAAAACAAATAAGGCTTACTTATACTTCAGTATAAAAGAATGTCAAACATCAATTTGGGAAGAATTTAAAGCTTTCTAAGATGGCCATGCAATTTTTATTTGTATTTAATCTAAGCCTTACTGATTAACAATACAATCAATTGTAACAAAATACAGGTCACATGCAATTTGCAGTTAAAAATACAGCAGATCCGAGCCTACATTCGAAACATGTCACCTAGCACATTACTTGAAAGATGGAATCTTTCATAATTCTTAATGCAAATTTGAAGAGATCTTTCATCTTTTCTGTCTGGCAGGCAGATGGCTATTTGTGCAAATTTAAATACAGTACATTGACCTTAACGTAACAGTGGACAGATAGCGAAGGAGTAAGTGTTCAACATCAAAAGACGAATTTGTTGCACGTTAATTCCTTTTCAGAGTGCAGAATATGTCTACAATAAAGTGCTTCTCTTAATAAGTTATACTGGTAGCAGTTTAGATGTTTACCTAGTTTTAAAGCTTAAGTTGTTTAGTAAATATTTTAATATCCCTGTACCTCCCCTATCCTTCAAGGCACCTTCAAAATGCAAGCAGAACACTAACTGGGAAGAGGTAAGCTACAATAAAAAGTTCAAAGTGGTAGTAAACTATTGATAAGGTTTGTAAACAGTCCCATCCCTCTGAATCTTAGGGCTTGTGCATTATTGAAGCAAGTTTCTGTTGGAAGAAGCATTTGAACTCCAGAGTTAGCAATCCTTAGGGACACAGCCAGCTTTCTTGATAATACACTACTGTGCCACATTTTCATGTGGTATCCTGCTTCTTTTGTTACTTGTACAAAACCATCTTATTTGATGTATGTAAGCCTCTAGACTTCAAGTAACGCAACCTATTATGGGCTGGTTTAGATCTATTGAGTCTTTTTTAATGCATGTACATTTCACCTCCATTAACGCAACCTTATGAGAAGGTTTTGGTTATGATGAAAATATATTTGGGTTGTTCTGTGGAAGCCATAACCTTCACCTGGTACTAACTTTTGACTGGATAGAAGGAGTTAGCTTCTTTAAGACTTCAATGACAGGTACAGTCAAAATTGAGGCTAATTGGTTTCTTCAGGTCTGTTTAAGGCTTTCTGGAACTTCTTTAGAAAAGAAGATGTGGAGCACATGACCCCACGTGACCTCTGCTGTGAAATACTAAAATAGGATCCACTTAATCATGTTTCTAAAAAGTGAATAACTTGAAAAGTTATTCTCTAACATCAGATACAGCTTACAAAACCTGTCCAAGTGCTTTCACAATGTATACAGAGCTTTATCTTCTATGGTATCAAGGCAATGTTTAGCTATATGAGCAGGAGGCATTCCATTACTTTTCCAGAAGAAGTTCTCACTGAGTTCATCTTGGCTTTCACAGCTCTTGCAAGAGAGTGAACTTGAAGAAAAGTATCAATGCCAGAGTTCCACGTTCTCCGCTTCTGTTCAAGTCATTCTAGTCTAACGTTTTATCACCACCTGCTCATATGCTCCAGATCCAACTCTGAAAATGTTTGTAAGAAATCAGATGAGTTGCAATTAAAATAGAAGTTAAAGAAGTTAAGTTTGAAACACTACACATAACTGAGAACTTTGGAACTAAGACTTCAGGACCTCCAAAAGTAGTGTTTTCAGCTGGCACATCAGTTTGATTTTAGAATAAACCTTTGTGTTCTGGTTTACAGCCTGACAATCTAGTTCTTTTGGTGCCACAAGAATGATAAAGAACAGAAAGACGAAAAGATCACGAATGTAGATACAGAATAATTGCTGTGTAAGATACATGTACATTTCTGTTTAGTGTTACTCATTGATTAGTCATTCAGGCTACATACCTGTTAGGTAGATGATGGCTTCCAAAAGAAGTGCTTCCACCAGGGCCCACAAATAATCTTAAGCCTTCCTCTAGAAAGCAAGACAATTCATTTGTTAGCTTCATTTCTAAAACTGACATTTTAAATCTACCAATTTGGTAACTGATCCTTTGCAGGTTAGAGGTTGGAGAACCTAACTTCCCTGTAGGTTTGTCCCTGCTGTTATCTTTTTGAGAAAAGCAATTGACTGGGAAAGTTACTGGAGTCATGCAACAAGGGTCTTTTCAACTTCTGGGAACAGGATCAAGCATATGCAGAGTCCTTACAATTACAAGCAACAGGGACTACGAAGAGAGTCAGTTTTCTTAAGGCCTTTAATGTGCATCAACTTTCCCTAAGCTTCCTTATTTCTCTCCATACCTTCTGCACTTGAGTCTAAACTGAAGTCTTGACTCTGGAGTATTTTTTCAACTACATCATCAGCATCAACTCTGGTAGCATCAACCCTCTTCAGCTGTGACTCCACAGAGTCTTGTTTTACAGGATGTCTGCAGAAAGAAATATATTGAGAGGTCTTAGAAGTGATACAGTAAATTCTGTTTTGCTTCTGCTAGGTAAGGCTTTCAAGTTGAGCATACCTGCAAAGTTTTTCTGATGATGCATCTTTAATAGATGTATCAATGTTGGTTTCAGTTACTTTTGGATCCATCTCTTCACAGGGCCCTAGAATACTTCCAATTCCTGTTGAGGTGCTGCCTTCTGAGGTGTTTCTCCTGTGGCACAGTTCAGACATACTGGATGACCTGGAGTGAGATGTGCTGTAGCCTGTTGGGAGAACACAGGAGAGCTAGATTAGGTATGCTGCTGACAGCCTTGGTCATCAATTGTCTTTTACAAAGCAGAATTGGTGTTTTGTCTTCTTGAAAAGGAACTTCAAAAGACTTGCGAGTATATATACGTATATGCATACACCGAGTAGACAATACATT